ATTATTAAGAAAAAAAGATATTAATAATAATAATATATGTATGTATATATTATTAATTAAAATATATTAACAATTTATAATATTATTTATATTAATATAATTTATAATTGTATGATCAATTTATAATTTTATACTAATGAATTAAAAAATTATTAAGAAAAAAATATATTAATAATAATAATATATGTATGTATATATTATTAATTAAAATATAATCATAATTGAATTATATTAATAATTTATACTACTATTTATAATTTTATGATCAATTTATAATTTTATACTAATGAATTAAAAAATTTTGTTTACTAATTAATAGGATAAGCATGTTGCCGAGTTTGAGGGTTCTGGACCCCGACACACGCGTAGTCGTTGTGTGGATGCTTCCGCTCGGCGGGAGATGGAGGAAAGGCGTCGTGAGGCTCTCCTGGTACAGCTTGGGCAGACTGGCGGTTTGAGACCTCCCGTTCGTCCGATACAGATCGGTCAACAGTCAGGGCCACTCATTCCTGCCACTTCGGGAGGTCTCGTTCGTCCGATGCAGTTCGGTCGGCAGTCCGGCTCAGTCATGGCTGGCAGTTCGGGAGGTCTCGTTCGTCCGACAGAGAGTGGTCAGCAGTTCGGTTGGCAGTCCGGCTCAGTCATGGCTGGCAGTTCGGGAGGTCTAGTTCGTCCGATACAGAGTGGTCAGCAGTCTGGGCCACTCGTACCTGCCAGTTCGGAACGTCTCCCTCGGATACGTATCACTCGGTCGCAGGGTTATTCTTCTGAGTCGGCAGTCAGAACTCCGGCGAATGATGATGATGATGATGATTATGATGATGATGATGATGGTGGTGATGGGGATGACGAGACATTTGACTCCGACTATGTGGCAGTTGAGCAGGACATTGTATCTCCTGACCCACAGGCACAGCCAGAGCGGCCACAGGGTTCTGCACCTGCACCTGCAGCCGATGCAGGTAAAAGACTCATTGGAGTTAATCCTCCACGACAGGGTGGGGGTCGTTTTGCGGGCGCCGGATCTTCCTCAGGTAAATGATTTACGTATTTATTGTTGTTTACCATTATATGTTTTTTTATTAAATAATTGATACGGTCAGTCACAATATGTCGTATATATATTGATTGTTCTATTCTAATACAGGTGCGAGTAGCAAACGGCCGAAGAATGACCCCTGGATCGTTACAGCCAGTGCCCGGTGGCCCCGTTGACGGGAGTGTTATCCCTAGTTTCTAGGGCACGTAGCCTCCCGTATGTGGACTGGAGAGTTCAGAGGCATGCTTAAATGCCAAAACAGGCAGGGCGCGCACGGTGAATTGAGGGGCTGGCTCGAAACGATGGTCCAGGATGCGCGTGCTATGATCGTTCAGACCGGGCTGTCACATTCGGCATCCAGCATGCATACTCACGTCGACACTCCACTCATTTCTGCATTTGTGGAGCGCTGGCAGCCGGATACCAACTCGTTTCACCTGCCTTTTGGTGAAATGAGTATCATGCTGCACGACGTGAGGGCCATTTTGGGTGTTCCTGTGAATGCAGCGGTTGTCAGTGTGGATCCCGACGGCCTGACCTGCCAGTCGAACTGCATGGAGATCCTCGGGGTGGACCAGAGTCATCTGATGACGCGTCTTTGGGATCACGAGTCTGTGACAAATCAAGCCGTTTTTGAAGCATTGATAAAGAATGGCGCAGCTCGATCGGCTGAGTATGTGGCTATTGGCTGGTTGTGGGTGCTGCTCGGTACCACCTTGTTTGTGGACAAGAGTGGTAACAGGGTCAGTCCCAAACTCCTGCACGAGATGATGGACAACGTACGGGAAGTTGGGACTTACTCTTGGGGCTCGGTTGCGCTGGCATACCTGTACAGACAGTTAGGTATTGCCAGCAGGGGGGACTCACAGGGAGTGTCTGGCTGCTTGACTCTCATGCAGTCCTGGATATACGAGTACTTCCCCACCTTCCGACCCCAGCGAGCACGTATGATCCCCGAGCCTGGCTGTGTCGCCCGATCAGGCTCGTGGAGCGTGGCGGTGACAGAGAGGTCAGATGCGCGCCTCAAAGCTTTCCGTAGGCAGCTTGACATTCTCACCGCCGCCGAGGTGCGTCAAGTTATTTTATTTACATTTAGTTGAAAGTTATTTGGAATAATTGAATTGTTTCAATAAATGTTTTTATGCAATTGTGAACAGGTGAACTGGCTGCCCTACGACCGCCGGCCACATGACATCGAGCCTAGGACCCTTTATAACGGATGCCTTAGGTACCGGGATATTGTGGAGCCGTACATGCCTCTGCGGTGGTTGCGTCAGTTGGGCTACGTGCAGACTGTCCCTCCCCGCATGGATCGTCCGCTCAAGGCAGTCCGTGCCTGGAACTCTAGGTTGTACAGGGTTGAGCATCCCATTACTACTGCAGCGGATCACTGGGACCAGTTCCCGCAGCTGCATTCTATAAACTTGACTCATTGTACTCCGACCACCGCAGATGATCCAGGGGAGGCCCATGAGCAGTACCAGCAATGGTACGATCAGTTTTCTCATCCTAGACTCTTACCTGACAGTCTGCCGGACGACGAAGCCGTCCCTTCGCGCGCCAACACCGGTTATTTAAGTCGTTTACCAAATTTTAGTTATTGTGTTTTCATTAAAATAGTAAGTCGTTTTTTAATATATATGTGATAATATTTTTACTTCTGCTTTTATGTGTAGTGGGTGAATCGGTTATTCTCCGCATCATCAGACCTCCTGCGGGATTTAGAGGTTGTGGATTACGTAGGGAATTCTCCAATAATGCGGATATTCGTAGAAAACCGTCGAGAAAGTATCTGTAATATCATAATAATTTCACGTCACAAATTAGATAATCGAACTTACAAACATAATTAGTTATCGTTCAACATAAACAAATAAATAAGAAAAAAAATCACCTGTCGGCTCATCTGAATGTTGAGAAGATGAGCTTGTCGGTGCACACGAAGAAATGTTGTTACGCCCCACCGGACGACCTCTTTTCCTGTAATCCCATACCGGTGGAGCACACGAAGAAGTGCTTTTACGCCCCACCCGGCGACCTGTTTCGGTGTACTCCGACTTCCATGGAGCACACGAGGAAGTGCTTTTACGGCGTCTTTCACTGTGCTCCCATTTCGATAGATCGCGCTTTGTTGAATTGGGCTTCTTGGGCCGACCTCTCGGATTATCCTTCACTTCAGGTTCTTTGTAACCTTGTTGGTCGGGGTGAAGTTGCGAGTCGATGAACTGATTCACGTACCGCAGCGTCGCGGGATCGGCCGCTTCAAGCTCCGCAGCAAGGCGATAAAAATAGTCACGATCAGT